ACATGAGGCCAAGCCCAAATGACAATTACAATAAAGAAAAACCAAAAACACAAACCGAAAACGCGAACAACAAACAATAACATCATAGTTACATAAAACACATGAATACATAGCAATATGAAAAATAAAGAATATGCACAGGCACAATAATAATGGGTGGGCAACATGTAGTAATTAAAAGGACAAACTGATTAAAACTAATTAAAAAGTCGGGCGAGATAAAAGAGGGAAGCAGGCAATTATTACTTACCCATTTTTTGCAAAATGCAACATGAGACAACCACAACTGAAGGTCATCCTATTGGAACAAAACAGAAAATACTAGTCATCATCCCTTCTATAACGATCAGCAACAAATGTTGGGAAAATGTCAGCATTTCTACAGGCAACAGTTTAGAGGGGAATTAGGAACATTTCTCACATGGTGTGATCTGCAATACCATTTACAATAATTGGCCTATGTCTTTTTAAAAGTTAAGAGTCACACATCTGAGGAATTCCTATTTTGGTTTCGGATCCTCAATCACATGCTGTAATGTACACCCACGGAATAATTCAGAATATACAGAAACAGTTGTATCCCTGTAGCTTCCTTTCCAGAGCCTCACCCACAGAACAATGAGAATATGTTGTACATGTTTTGAGCATATTAATTGCACACTGAGTGGCTGCTGGATAAGAATGAGCATCTCATGGAACAATACTCTGCTAAAGACCCTAGCCCCTCATGACTCTTCAGAGAGTGCTGGACTTCAGAACAATAATCCTTGACTACTAGCCACACTCATTAGAACATTTGAAATGGTCATATGAGTAGTCAAATAAATACATTATTATTATTATTATTATTATTATTATTATTATTATTATTATTATTTCATTAGAACATTTGATAAGTTAGCCAAACCAATTCTTAGTCCACCTATGTGATTTATTTTGGTAAACCACTTTTGAAAACTAAATGAAATATTCATTCTGGATATAAAACCATACAAGAATATATCTTGCTTCCATTTAGTTATCATACTGATATCATATTACAAAAAGGATTATGCAACAGGCTTACTTTCCATTTTGCTGTGGCACGTTTGAAGAGGTTATGTATTCTCTGCACAATGGAGTACTCAATCTCATCTTTCTTAAAGGAGTAGCCAATTCGCTAAGGGTGAGGAAGACGAAGACAAAGAAGAAAACATCAACTTTACAGTGTTTTAAACTTGCATAAGAATTTCTTCCAAGTTCACAATTTACTTACCGATCTTCTTTTCTTGATCAGTTCCAATAAATTGATTTCATACTGGGGAAGAAAAAGATTCACAAGGTCAACAATATCTCAAAAATATTACACCACCCTGCTGCTTTCAAACTCTAGAACTACAATAACTGTGTTGTTTTGTGCTGTAGCACTTAAAATTAGATGGATGACAATTGACCCCGCAAAGCAACACCCTGTCAGGAATGCAGCTAGAACAACTTGTGGGTCCTCAGGCGTTTAGGCCTCCAACTCCCAGAAATCCAAGCCAGTTTACCAGCTGTTAGGATTTCTGGGTACTGAAAGGCAAAACAACTGGGGACCCACAGGATGAGAGCCACTGAGCTAAAACAACCTGTTACAGTTGAAATGCTATTAGACTTGTAATGTGCCCCTCCCGTCTCCCTTAGTGCCCCCCCCCTCGTGCTTTGACCCCTCCTATCAGTCTTCCCACACTTGGTTCCATACCTGCCACACTAACCTGTGTCTTTAAACTGTGATTTCAAACTGTTTTCTAATCTGTTTTTTATAACTGCTTCACTAGGGAACTGTGTTTCCCCTTCCCAGGGCATTTGTGCCCCACTTTGTGCTGGTCATGGACCATAACAAAGTTTGTTGTTGTTCAACAATATCTCAAGGCTGATCAAGCTGGCAAACACGGCAAAACCATTCCAATTATTTGAATGAAGCTACAAGTTAGGCAGGTAATAAAGATGCCAAGTAATCAAGAAATGTCAATTAACCAAAAACCCACTTTAGTATTAGTTACACCAATTCCTAATCATCCTATATATATGGAAAGCTATTCATTCCATAAGAGTCCTCATGTATCTAGAACACACATAAGAGAAGTATGAGCCAGCCTAAGGGAAGCCCATGATTAAAAATAAAAAATATCTTAGCACTTTAGATACTGCCATCCTTTTGCAGTCTGAATTTGGGAAAGCAACCAAGGATGTTCATTTCATAGGCTTCCTAATAGAATGGGATCAATGACAACTGCAAAAAAAAAATGAACAAGCTATTTTTTTTAACTTAAAGAGGAAAAATAAATGAAGTGAACGTAACAGCATGGTATTCCATTTTTAATGTACCATACTTTCAAAACCTGAATGTTGAAGTTGGGCTGCAAGCTATTCATCTGGATTTCTGGCATAATAAATACATCCATACCTCCACATTTGCAGGTTAAGCATTCATAAGTAATAAGTAAGATATAAGTATGACACAGGAAAGGGCCTTCTATGCTATGGCTCTCTCCCAATTGGTGCCAACAATGGTTTATTTCTGGCACAAAGTCAAAACACTGTTTTTATTAAAACTTCTGGGTCATACCATAGCTTTGAAACATATGTGTGTATGATTCTAACAGTTTGCTTAAATTATTTTATTAAATAAGGAATAGTTTCACACTATTTATATTATTTTGCTTGCACAATGTCTCGAAATTCCACAATATAGGACAGGAAGATTAAACAAATAACATGCATAAGAAACCTTTAATGTTTGTAGCTTCAAGTGAAAGAAAAATGTGGTAAACACCTTCCACAAACCAGAAAAATATGGAATAAACCTGCTCAGTGGAAAAATAATGCTGACTATGTTGGGAGATATGTAGGTGAAGAACCAAGCATCCAAAAAGAAGCCACAGCTATGCTATCCAAAACCTTTTTAAAATCCACTTATTCAAATCCACAAATTCACATTTAAAAGGCAAAGCGATCCATGAAAGAGGAAACACAGAATAACTGTGACATATCTTAAGTGATGCCAAGAGAGCTGCCTTTTAAAAATTACCTGAATGTAGCTGATAAAATCTTCCTTGTGAAGGGCTCTCCGCTGTATTTTATATTCAAGGGCTGAAGACTTCTTAATAACTGCCCTGCAAAAATGTAAATAGGAAAAGAAAAGCTCTAAGACAGACGCATTTTGAGTTCATAAAGGACACCCTCTGGCCAACTGGCTGTGGGATTCTGGGTGCTGTAGTAAACAAAAATGTATCTTTTCTAAGCTCTCACCACATACCCACCATAGTTTCAAAAGGGAAACATACAACATTCAAGGGTTTTCTTTTAGATGTCAACATTGATATTGGCTAATTTTTTAACAAATATCCCTCTAAAGCAGGGTTAAATAACATGCATCTCTCCATATATTCTCAACCTGCAACTCACACTGGGTACATCTACACTGTAGAATTAATGCAGTCTGACACCACTTTAACTGCTAGGGCCTCAATATTATGGAATCCTGGGAGCTGCAGTTTGGTGAGGTCCCAGCATTTCTTTGGCTTAGAAGGCTAAAAAGCTTGTATAACTCCCAAGATTGTGTAGCCTTGAATCGTAGCAGTTAAAGTGTTGTCAAACTTCAATAATTCTACAGTGTAAATGCACCTGTCAGCTCTAATCAACACAGACAAGAGTGAAGGATGAGTAGAGCACTCCTGGAGAATTGGAAGGCAGATCAGGGAATAGGGATTCAGCCTATGCTGGTGGGATTACACTTCCACCTTGAAGGCACAAGTAGAACTAGGAAAAGGGTTTATATATCTGTGGAATGACCAGGGTGGGACAAAGAACTCTCGTCTGTTGTAGCTCGGTGTGAATGTTTCAATTGACCACCTTAATTAGCCTTTGATGGCCTGGCAGTGCCTGGGGCAATCTTTTGTTGAGAGGTGATTAGATGTCCCAGATTGTTTCCTCTCTGTATTATTATTATTATTATTATTATTGAAGTTGGAATCACTGGGTTGTTGTAGGTTTTTTCGGGCTATATGGCCATGGTCTAGAGGCATTCTCTCCTGACGTTTCGCCTGCATCTATGGCAAGCATCCTCAGAGGTAGTGAGGTCTGTTGGAACTAGGAAAAGGGGTTTATATATCCTTGGAATGACCAGGGTGGGACAAAGGACTCTTGTCTGCTGGAGCTAGGTGTGAGTGTTCTCAAATAAAATGCATGTGGACAATTTCAACAGAAAGGAGGAAACCATGAAAATGAACAAAATCTGGCTACCAGTATTAAAAAACTCTAAAATTACAACAGCACAACAACAGAGAGGAAACAAACAAGGACATCTAATCACCTCTCAACAAAAGTTTGCTCCAAGCACTGTCAGGCCATTGTATGCTAATCAAGGTGGTCAGTTGAAACATTCACACCTAGCTCCAGCAGACAAGAGTCCTTTGTCTCACCCTGGTCATTCCACAGATATGTTGTTGTTGTCCATTCGTTCAGTCATCTCCGACTCTTCGTGACCTCATGGACCAGCCCACGCCAGAGCTCCCTGTCGGCCGTCACCACCCCCAGCTCCTTCAAGGTCACTCCAGTCACTTCAAGGATGCCATCCATCCATCTTGCCCTTGGTCGGCCCCTCTTCCTTTTTCCTTCCACTTTCCCCAGCATAATTGTCTTCTCTAGGCTTTCCTGTCTCCTCATGATGTGGCCAAAGTACTTCAACTTTGTCTCTAGTATCCTTCCCTCCAGTGAGCAGCCGGGCTTTATTTCCTGGAGGATGGACTGGTTGGATCTTCTCGCAGTCCAAGGCACTCTCAGAACTTTCCTCCAACACCACAGTTCAAAAGCATCTATCTTCCTTCGCTCAGCCTTCGCTCAGTCTCTAGGGTGACTATGGGGAATACCATTGCTTTAACTATGCAGATCTTTGTTGCCAGTGTGATGTCTCTACTCTTCACTATTTTATCGAGATTGGTCATTGCTCTCCTCCCAAGAAGTAAGCGTCTTCTGATTTCCTGGCCACAGTCTGCATCTGCAGTAATCTTTGCACCTAGAAATACAAAGTCTGTCACGGCCTCCACATTTTCTTCCTCTATTTTCCAGTTGTCAATCATTCTTGTTGCCATAATCTTGGTTTTTTTATGTTTAGCTGCAACCCGGCTTTTGCGCTTTCTTCTTTCACCTTGATTAGAAGGCTCCTCAGCTCCTCCTCGCTTTCGGCCATCAGAGTGGTGTCATCTGCATATCTGAGGTTGTTAATGTTTCTTCCAGCAATTTTAACCCCAGCATTGCATTCATCAAGCCCCGCACATCGCATGATGTGTTCTGCATACAAGTTAAAAAGGTTGGGTGAGAGGATGCAGCCTTGCCGTACGCCTTTCCCAATCTTGAACCAGTCTGTTGTTCCGTGGTCAGTTCTGACTGTTGCTTCTTGGTCCTTGTACAGATTCCTCAGGAGAGAGACAAGGTGGCTTGGGATGCCCATCCCACCAAGAACTTGCCACAATTTATTATGATCCACACAGTCAAAGGCTTTAGAATAGTCAATGAAGCAGAAATAGATGTTTTTCTGAAACTCCCTGCCTTTCTCCATTATCCAGCAGATATTGGCTATCTGGTCTCTGGTTCCTCTGCCTTTTCTAAACCCAGCTTGAACATCTGGCAACTCTCGCTCCATGTATTGCTGGAGTCTTCCTTGCAGGATCTTGAGCATTACCTTACTGGCATGAGAAATAAGGGCCACAGTACAGAAGTTTGAGCAGTCTTTCGCATTTCCCTTCTTTGGTATGGGGATATAAGTTGATTTTTTCCAGTCTGATGGCCATTCTTGTGTTTTCCATATTTGCTGGCAAATGGCATGCATCACCTTGACAGCATCATCTTTTAAGATTTTAAACAGTTCAGCTGGGATCCCGTCATCTCCTGCTGCCTTGTTGTTAGCAATGCTTCTTAAGGCCCATTCAACCTCACTCCTCAGGATGTCTGGTTCTAATTCATTCACCACACTGTCAAAACTATCCTCGATATTATTATCCTTCCTATACAGATCTTCTGTATAGTCTCGCCACCTTCTCTTGATCTCTTCAGCTTCTGTTAGGTCCCTGCCATCTTTGTTTCTTATCATACCAATTTTTGCCTGAAATTTACCTCCAATGTTTCTAATTTTCTGGAAGAGGTCTCTTGTCCTTCCTATTCTGTTGTCTTCTTCCACTTCCATGCATTGCTTATTTAAAAATAGTTCCTTATCTCTTCTGGCTAACCTCTGGAATTGCGCATTTAACTGGGCATATCTCCCCCTTTCACTGTTTCCTTTTGCTTTCCTCCTTTCTTGGGCTACTTCCAGTGTCTCAGCAGACAACCATTTTGCCTTCTTGGTTTTCTTTTTCTTTGGGACGTACTTTGTTGCCGCCTCCTGAACAATGTCTCGGACTTCTGTCCATAGTTCTTCTGGGACTCTGTTTACTAAATCTAGTCCTTCAAATCTGTTCTTCACTTCCACTGTATATTCGCTAGGAATGTTAGTGAGATCATATCTAACTGGTCTGTGTATTTTCCCTGATCTCTTTAGTTTTATTCTAAATTGAGCAATAAGAAGTTCGTGATCTGAGCTACAGTCAGCCCCAGGGCTTGTTTTCACCGACTGGATGGATGTCCGCCACCTTTGGCTGCAAAGGATGTAGTCAATCTGATTTCGGTGTTGACCATCTGGTGAAGTCCATGTGTAAAGCCGTCTTTTAGGTTGTTGGAAGAGAGTTTGTTATACACAGCGAGTTTTCCTGGCAAAATTCTATCAGCCTGTGTCCCGCTTCATTTTGTTCTCCCAGACCATGCTTGCCTGTGATCCCTGTTGTCATTTGACTTCCCACCCTGGCATTCCAGTCTCCTGTAATGAAAATAATGTCTCTTTTTGGTGTATTATCCAGTAGGTCCTGCAGATCCTCATAGAACTGATCTACTTCTGCTTCTTCAGCAGCTGTGGTTGGGGTGTATATTTGGATCACTGTAATGTTGAAAGGCTTTCCTTGCACTCGAATTGAGATCATTCTGTCATTTTTTGGGTTGTATCCAAGCACCGCTTTAGCGAATTTCTTATTCATTATGAAGGCTACTCCATTTCTTCGATGTTCCTCTTGTCCGCAGTAGTAGATCTGGTGGTCATCTGATGTGAAGTGGCCCATTCCAGTCCATTTCAGTTCGCTGACCCCCAGAATGTCTATCTTTAGTCTTGACATCTCACCAATAACAACATCCAATTTGCCCTGGCTCATAGATCTTACATTCCAGGTTCCTATGGTGTGTTGATCTTTAGAGCATCGGATTGGTCGTTCACCTCCAGTACCGTCGGCCGCTAGCCTTCCTTTCGGCTTTGAGCTAGCTGCGTCATCACATCTGGGGCTAGTTGAACTTATCCTCTGCTCCTCCCCAGTAGCATTTTGGCCATCTTCTGACCTGGGAGTCCCATCTTCCAATGGCATACCGACATATCTCTGGTTGTACTGGTCCATTTAGTTTTCTTGGCAAGGATACTGGGGTGGTTTGCCGTTGCCTTCCCCAGGGATCATGCTTGGTCTGACCTCTCTGCCACGACCGTCCCGTCTTGGGTGGCCCTTCACGGTTTCGCTCATGACATCATTGAGGTGCTCAAGCTCCAGCGCCACAACAAGGCGGTGATCCTTTGCTGAGATATATAAACCCTTTTTTCCTACTTCCAACAGACCTCACTACCTCTGAGGATGCTTGCCATAGATGCAGGCGAAATGTCAGGAGAGAATGCCTCTAGACCATGGCCATATAGCCCAAAAAACCTACAGCAACCCAATTATTATTATTGTGGCCAGAATAGGAAGTAGTAAACCATTTCACCAAACAGGACAGAGGAAAAGCTGGGAGAACTTTTTTCTAAGACCCCATCTACACTGCCATGTAAAATCCAGATTACCTGATTTAACTGGATTATATGGCAGTGTAGGCTCATATAATCCAGTTCAAAATTGATGATTTCGAATTTATATGTCAGTGTGGATGTTGCCTACGTTTAGTTCCACCGAAAGGTGATGTAAGAGGACAATGAGGGGCCCTGGACTGGGCAGAATATAAACCCTGGGTGCGCCTCCACTGCAGAATTTATGCAGTTTGACACCACTTTAACTGCAATGCTATGGAAGCCTGGGAGCTGTAGTTTGACAAAGTCTGCCAAAAGAGTTCCGGGACCTCACCAAACTACAACTCCCAGGATTCCATAGCACAGAGCCCTGCCAGTTCCAAGCGGCGTCAGACTGCAGTAATGCCACAGGGCAGAGTCTTCCCCCTCCCTGGCTCACCGGATCTCTTTGCGGGTGAACAGCCCGACCCGCTCCAGCTGCTCGAGCTCCGGGATGCGGTCCTCGATGCGCTGCTCTATCCGCTCCGCCATGGCCCAGAAAGCGGCTCCCGGCTGATCAGAGCAGGGCCGGTGCACGTGGGTCTCGCGGGTCGGCCTCTTCCTCCTCCACTTCCGCTCGCCCGGCCCGCCTACTCGTTGGCCTTTCCATCCGCCTAGACCAGCCACTGAATCCCGCCCACTGCCACCCTGCGGCTCCCAAGGCAACTACAACCCTATTGACTTTACAGCTTCCAGAATGAGTTTTGACGCCTGCCAGGGAAATGACACCTGCTGGGGCCCTTTTACACTATGCAATAATAGCGCTGTTGTTCCACTCTAAGTGCCATTGTTCTATCCTTTTCTGAGCCTTGAGCGATCCAGCTGGAGGTCAGCTGTGACCAGTAGTGCTGTAGAATTTGAAGCGGCATGAATGGAGGGCGAAAGAGAGAAACATGCCAAGAGGAAGGTGCGTCAAGCCAACCCCAACCAGGACCGTCTTCCACCTGGAAACTGATGCCCTCACTGTGGGAGAACATGCAGGTCAAGAATAGGGCTCCACAGTCACCTATGGACCCACCACCAGTGCACCGATCTTGGAAGACTATCCTACTCAGACAACAAGGGATCGCCTAAGTAAGTAAAGGCTCCCTCCTATAAAATCTTGGGATTGGTAGTGGAAGGAAGGGCCTTTAAAAAATACTGGGCCTCTAAACCAAGCTCTAGCTTTCCAGGTATGTTGGACTTCAACTCCCAAAAGCCTCATCTGCCTTGCCAATGTATGGGAATCTGGGAAATGAAGTCCAAAACCAGACTGTGAGATGTCTCAACCAGACATCCCCAGGCATTTCATAGGAGGCTTCCATGGTAGTAACAAGTGAAAGCTTGGGTTGGATCTACACTGCCATATAACTCAGTTGAAAGCTGATAGATGATGGTGTAGATAAGCCCTTAGTACTGGAATTGGGTGCAGAGAGCCCTTGGTATCTGCCATGGCTTCTGCAGGCGCCGAAATCCCTAGATGTTCAAGCCTCATAATGTAGTCCTGAGGAGAGCGACTAAAATGATCAAGAGTCTGGAGAACAAGCCCTATGAGGAGCGGCTTAAAGAGCTGGGCATGTTTAGCCTGAAGAAGAGAAGGCGGAGGGGAGACATGATAGCCATGTATAAATACGTGAGAGGAAGTCATAGGGAGGGAGTTTGTTTTATGCTGCCCTAGAGACTAGGACACACAACAATGGCTTTAAACTACAAGAAATGAGATTCCATCTGAACATTAGGAAGAACTTCCTGACTGTGAAAGCCGTTCAGCAGTGGAACTCTCTGCCTGGAGTGTGGTGGAGGCTCCTTCTTTGGAAGCTTTTAAACAGAGGCTGGATGGCCATCTGTCAGGGGTGCTTTGAATGCAATTTTCCTGCTTCTTGGCAGGGGTTGGACTGGATGGCCCATGAGGTCTCTTCCAACTCTATGATTCAGATAAATTTTGCAAGGCTGAGCAAGATGGTTTTCGGCCCCCAAGGATGGGGAGTTCCTTTCAGAAATAAGCATTTGCACTCCAATTGGTCTTGAAATTCTTTTTTGAGAAGAGCTCCCCCTGAATAAAATTAATGGTACAACTCAAAAACTTTAAGTTGTCTTTGTTGTCGAAGGCTTTCATGGCCGGAATCACTGGGTTTCTGCGAGTTTTCTGGGCTCTATGGCCATGTTCCAGAAGCATTCTCTTCTAAGTTTCACCCATATCTATGGCAGGCATCCTCAGAGGTTGTGAGGTTTACACAACCTCCGAGGATGCCTGCCATAGATGTAGGTGAAACGTCAGGAGAGAATGCTTCTGGAACATGGCCATACAGCCCGGAAAACTCGCAACAACCCACTTGAAGTTGTTGTTTTACTTTCTTTGTAGAAAAATATGGTTATTTTATAAAATGCAACAAAATACAGTTAGCCCTCTATATTCAGATTTTCCCATCCATGAATTCAAAATATGTATGTGCTAAAAATTCTGTAAGGGACATTGTTTAGTATGCTACTGTATATAATGGGCTTTGAGTATCCATAAATTTTGATATCCATAACATGCCCTGGAATCAAACACTAGCAGATACCAGGGACTCACTCGAGACAGATTTTAGTATCAAAAATAATGGGCCTCTCCTTGGCTCTTGGAGCCCTAGACCAACGTACTGGCTGAACCTGGGCATAGTAAAATGGCATCCCTTATATAAGTGCCAGAGAGAGCCTAAAGATCTGTGAAATGGTCACAGACCATTTATTTATTTACTGTATTTGTATACCACTGTTCTCAACCCACAGGCAACCACAGAAGGGAATGTGTACATTTCATCATAGTGCTCAGCATGTGACAAAGTCAAGGTCTGTTTTTGGGATTCCCATCCAGACCCTCCAAAAAATATTGGTTGAATTTGTGGACACAGAACCCGACTGTTGTGTGGATGGGCCCCTTGTATTGGACTAAAGCAGGGGCATCCTGCGCTGACACTGTGGACAGTTCCATATAGGAAGAAATTGTCTTTATACTGCACCAAATGTTTGGACCACCTGACTCTGTTATTGAACAAGTGGGTAACTAGTAAAAGGTAAAGGTTTTCCCCTGACATTAAGTCCAGTCGTATCCGACTCTGGGGGTTGGTGCTCATCTCCATTTCTAAGCCAAAGAGCAGGCATTGTCCATAGACACCTCCAAGGTCATGTGGCCGGTATGACTGCATGGAGCGCCATTACCTTCCTGCCACAGCGGTACCTATTGATCTACTCACATTTGCATGTTTCCAAACTGCTAGATTGGCAGAAGCTGGGGCTAACAGCGGAAGCTCATGCCACGCCCCAGATTCAAACCTGCGACCTTTTGGTTAGCAAGTTTAGCAGCTCAGCGGTTTAACCCACTATGCCACCTGGACTCCGGGTAACTAGTGGTCCACTACATTTTCAGCACAGCAGCTTCTGCAGTCCAAGAACCTTTGGAGGACAAGTTGTCCGTTCTTGTAATATCTTCCTAGACTGCATGTCAAGGATGCCTTTCCCGTCCTTGAGTGGAATTTGGGACTCTCTGTATACAAAAAAGCACTTTGTTATTCAGTTATGGCCCCATTTTATTTAGGCTGGACGCTTAGAATGGCATTTTTTTCTTCTTCTCATAATAACACTAACAATTCTGAAAGGACAACACTATTTCACCAATTTTCTACTCCCCTTTCATCTCAACAGTCACACAAAGCTATCCCCCCCATGAACTCTGAACTGACATGGTTTACTGCAGGAATACACACTTCTTTACTCTGTGGGCTGCATTTAATATGTTGCTTCGCTGCCCCCCCCCCCCAATGTTTGGAGCAACTTGAGAAACTGCAAGTCGCTTCTGGTGTGAGAGAATTCGCCGTCTGCAAGAATGTTGCCCTGGGGATGCCCGGATGTTTTACCATCCTGTGGGAGGCTTCTCTCATGTCCCTGCATGAGAAGCTGGAGTGCACAGAAGGGAGCTCACCCTGCTCCACGGATTCGAACCACTGACCTTTCCATCAGCAGTCCTGCCGGCATAAGGGTTTAACCCACTGCACTATGGGTTGAAACCACACATACACACCTCACCTGGAAACTGCCTTTCCATATTACTAGTGGGAATAAACAAAATATGACAATTGCAGGGAAAGAAGCTAGTAAAAGTGGTAAAATCAAGAGGCTGGAGAAAGGTGCAGCCCTAGAAACATAGACTGCACATTCAAACAACATTAAACTGCAAATATAGATAGGGCCCCATGGCGTCCAGCACAGCTTTCTCAAGTACACACAGAACTGTAGCCTTTACTTTAATTTTTAATTCATTTTCTTGTGGTTTACACACAAGAAAATTCAAACAGAGCATTATCTTCAAACATGCTCTGTTCTCAGGAATCTTCAAAGGAAACCAGCTGGTATGAACCCAATGAATGAAGAGTCCACTGAGTGAAGTTGGAAAGATTTTAATATCCTAGCATTCCATTCCTGTTTATATTGTTAAATTGGTTCCTGACAAGAGTCCCTTCCCCGCCACATTGATGTGGGAGCATGGAAGAAAACACTCACAGTTTCCAACCTCTGAAAAACCTTTAACTGAAAGCTGAGTGCAAAACTCATACTGTTACTCCACATTCCCGAAAAACCTTAAGAAAAAGATATATTAGTAGTCCTGATATTAAAACTCTATTTCAAGATGTTTCTATAAGATTCTACTTTTCCTTCCTTCCTTTTCTCTCTCTGAACTCAAAATCGAGCATAGGGAGGCCACCAACTGTTTTTGTTCAGATGAGAACTGTTTCGTGTTACTTAGAAAGCTAAATATCTGTATTTTTTTTTTACCTAAATCACATTATGGTAAGACTCTCACCATTCTGTGGTTATAGCAACATTCTTTTCCAAAGATGTAGATCCCATTATTTTATCCAGTTATTGCATAATTATATGTAAAGATACCTAGCTTTTGGTACAATGATGGAGATGTGATTCATGACATGTATGTACCTATTTGGACAATTTATTTATAGATCTAAATAATCTATATCAATAAAAATGTAATGTTCATTTGTGGAATTAACAGAACTCAAAAACCACTGGACGAATTGACACCAAATTTGGACACAAGACACCTAACAACCCAATATATGTCCTTCACTAAAAAAAAAAGATTTTGTCATTTGGGAGTTGTAGTTGCTGGGATTTATAGTTCACCTACAATCAAAGAGCATTCTGAACCCCACCAACGATGGAATTGAACCAAACTTGGCACACAGAAATCCCACGACCAACAGAAAATACTGGAAGGGTTTGGTGGGCAGTGTCCTTTGGTTTTGGAGTTGTAGTTCACCTACATCCAGAGAGAACGGTGGACTCAAACAATGATGGATCTGGACCAAACTCTACACGAATACTCAATATACCCAAATGTGAACACTGGTGGAGTTTGAGGAAAATATAATCTTGACATTTGGGAGTCGTAGTTGCCGGGATTTATAGTTCACCTACAATCACAGAGCATTCTGAACCCCAACAACAATAGAACTGGGCTAAACCTCCCACACAGAACCCCCATGTGGGCCATAGCAACACATGGCAGGGGACGGCTAGTTATTTTAAAAA